GGAACTCGGAATATTAAAACAGAAACTGAGAAGGCAAGCAAGTGATAAATTCCAAGACTGAAAGAGTAGGGACTTAGAAAACAGACTTGAAGACTAATTGGCAGAATGATGGCCACCAAGGTGTCTATGCTTCTGGGACCTGTACATGTGTTGACTTACATGGCAACAGGGACTTTGTAGATGCAATTAGGTTAAGGACCTTAAAATTAGGAGATTATCCTGTATTAGCTAAATGGGTTCAATCTAATTACATGAAGGCTTGAATGTGGAGAACCTTTCCTGGCTATGTTCAAAGGAGGAAGGATGGGAGAGATGCCGTTTCTGGCTTTGAAGTTGGAAGGGGTCAGGAGTGAATGGATGTGGGTGGCCTCTAGAAGATGAAAAACAGAACAAGGAAACAGACTCTTCCCTAGGACCCCAGATAGGAATGCAATCATACTGGTTATGTGATATTAGCCCAGTAAGACCTGTCTTGGACTTCTGACTTCCCTCTAAAACTCTAATATGTTTGTGTTGTAAAAAATTTAATTTATAGTAGTTTATTATAGAAGAAATACAAAACTAATATAGAAGTGATGTTCAAGTTAAGTCTTGAGATTAAGTAAAGTCAGTTTGACAAGCAGAGAAATGGAGTTTGGGTTTAGGAAACCTCATGTGATACTTGGTTGGAAGGCAAGAAGCCCAAAACAGGATCATGCACTTTGGGAATTTCTTACTCTCGAGGAAGACCTAAGCATAAGAGAGATTCCATCACTGTCTGCTGATGAACAGAATGATCCCATAGCTTAAAGTGAGCCTTGGAGAGTATAATTATTCAATAAGAGCTTGGTCTATGAGATCTCAAATGGAATATTTCACCTGTACTATGAATAGCAACTTGTTCACCCTAAAGATTGTATTTAATTATTAATCTGTGAAGCACTTTTGCAGGAACTGAAGCTGAAGAATGAAAATGTATAAAATGCTAACTTGATTTCAATACTTTTTTTCTAATGATGACATAATGTAAACTTACAGATTACAATATTTTTTTTTTAAAGAGAGATTTTTGCTATAGGGCATGTGTGCTCACTGGAGAGACTGCGAGTGTCAGAGAGACAGAAAGCAAGAGATCACCCCTGAGGGGGTATGACCAATCTGCAAACCCTCTCAGGATTTTGGGCACACACATACACGAGTCCCCAGATTACAATAGATAATGGAAGCTGGCCTCCATAGCACAATAGTTAGGAGCTAGGTAGAGGAAGAGCCAGATCCTACATGGTCAGCCAAGGTTTGAGTCCCATCCCAATCTACTTGAGAAACACACTAAAAATACATCCTTCCCCAGGATGGGATGACGATGGAGAATTTGAGGAAAAAAAGATTGTAGTGAGACCAGACCCCTGACAAGAGTGCTTTCTCTCTCTCTCATGCATGTACACGAGCTCTCTGGCATAAAAAATATAGACATGGGAAACAAAAATTTTTTAGAACCCAGTTTCCACCAAGATCTTATACTTTTTGATTAGCATAAATAAGGTGAAATTTTAGACTCTTATTTCTTCTTTTCCCTTTGAATTATGAAGTTATACTCTTGTACTAAGAAAATTACATCATGTTTAGAAAAATAATGAAACTACATGGAATCTATTTTAACATTGTCAGAGATATTCTAGAAATAAAGTTGCTTCTGTGAAATTAGTCCCCTTTTGGAGAAAAAGGGACATCTAATTTTCTTTCCATTTTGGTAGCCAAATTTAATTAGAGAAATTTCTCAGTTGAGGTAAAAGTAATAATATAAGGATTCTAATCCTCAAAAGTAGTCATCCTTTTTGACTTATTTTTTTCTTTTAAATATATTTTAATGTCAAAATTCTACCTAATATTTCAAAGCTACTTTTAAATATGTACTGTTCCAAAAAGGTTCCTTGTATTTTTCCAGCCCCTTCTTTGGCCAGCACTGACTCACTGATACTTTCTCAGGGCCATTTGTATTTTGTGTCCTGCAATAGCTTTTTTATCTGTTGGTCCTCTGTTAGAGTATGGTCACTTCTGTGACTCTCCTCCTTAACCTTTGAAACTATCACACCATCTTGCCCAGAAACTGCTCTCACTAAATATCCAACAGTTCAGTGTTGCTATGTAAAAACTGTGCTTTGATTTTGATTTTCTAACTTTAAGTACATTTGGAACCCATCAACATATTTTTTATAACCCGCCTTGTTAAACCCAGTTGGTTGGCATAGGTGGTAGAACATTTAGCACAGTTTTGTGCAAAAACATCAGTGTGCTGTTTCCCCATGAACAACCGTAGACATTTAGGATCTTGTTCCTGTCTTTTTCTTTATTATTTATGTATCATAATGGACTTACATTTGCATTTGATCAAAATTATTTGCTTTAATTTCATACTGCTTGGTCATTCCCTATTGGGTTCACAAATTCAATTGAGATAATTTTAATAGACTAGATGTATTCTATATTTAAATATACTCCATGCATGCTTTGAAAATCCATATTATGCCTTATAAAAATGTAGAACAACTAAATGTTAACAAGAAATTATAAAATATTTTTAAAAGAAAATAAAAGAGCAAAATTCTTTAATAAAAATCCTTCTTCATTGTTCTGAAGTTTGGAAGATAATATTTAGAGAAAAATTTGATTACTATACTCTTTTTTTTGGAGAAGTTTTCGCTATAGGGTGCGTGCGCTCACCAGACAGACAGAGAGAGACATAGAGACAGAAAGCGAGAAATCACGCCCCAGGGGGGATGGTCACGCCGCAATCCCTTCTCCTCCATTCTCCTCTCCGGATCTTGGGCACACACGCACACGCACCCGGCGTGAGTTTTAAGCCACCGGGTCCAGGACGCGAACCACGGTCGACTACGTGGGAGCCCAGCGACATAGCCATTACACTAACTGCTGGTTCCCACTCTTTTAAATTATGGATCTTACTAAAATGCTTTTTCTTTTTTAGACATTATTTGTGTGGCTTACCATAAAACTGAAAAAAAATTTAAAAAGCTACCAAAATTTGCTTCTTAGGTGGAGGAGATAAAAAGCACACTGATTAAGTTAATTCTAGGGATATACCAGGGAAAAAAAATAAGTTAGTAAAAAATAATTTAAAAACATTTTACTGTACTTGGTCTTTTCTTTTACTCTGTTCTTCACCAATTCAATGGCTTCCTAGATTTTCCCAAATTCATCTAAAAATAACTGTGGTAAGCAAATTAACATTTGTTTTAATTATGATATTAAAAGTTCTTTTGCTTTTTTGTCTTTCACATTTTGTTATAACTAAGGCCTTTTCAAACAGATATTTCACATGAAAATTTCTGCCATTTAAAAAATGTCTTTATTCACTTCTATTGAACTTTTTCTCGGTAGAAATTTTCTCTTCAATCCCCAAACCTCAGATTCCAGAGTATTTACAACTTCTAATAGAATTATTATACAACTTTATATTTTATACATTAAGTAGCTAATTATTTTTACTGCACTAAAATCATACTGAACAAACAATACACTCTAGAAATCTATAAGTATCATTGCAGTAAATGTTTTTTTGAAAGCTTTAGGTTACTTCATTTTGGCTATTTAGTCTTTTTCAAAAAAAATTAATTAATTAATTTGGGACCAGCAGTTGATGTAATGGCTATGTCACTATATTCCCATGTAGTTGACACGGTTTGAGTCCTGGACCTGGTGGCTTAAACTCATGCCAAGTGCATGTGTGTGCGTGCCAAAGGTCCCGAGAGGAGAATGGAGGAGAAAGTATTGCGATGTGACCATCTCCCCTGGGGGGTGATTTCTCGCTTTCTGTCTCTCTGTCTCTCTCTGTCTGGCAAACTCAGGTACCCTATAGCAAAACAAAAACAAAAACAACAAAAAAACCCTCTCCAAAATAAATTAATTAATTTAATTTTACTTACTATTTTTAAGTTTGTCATAGGGAACATATGCTCACAAGAGAGAGAAAAAGGGTGAAAGAGAAGTGAGAAAGCAAGCCACTAGGTCTGAAACTCGAACTGTGGTTGGCCATGTGGGGCTCCAGCATTGTAACCAGCATGCCACCTGCTGGCTCCTATGCTTCGTCTTTTTCTTTTTGGAGAGATGTTTGCTATAGGGTCCATGTGCTTGCCAAAGAGACAGAGCAAGACGAAGAGACAGAAAGTGAGAAATCACCTCCAGGGGAGATGGCCACACCACAATCCCTTCTCCATTCTCCTCTCAGGATTGGACACACATGCACCCGGTGTGAGTTTTAAGCCGCTGGGTCTGGGATGCGAGCTGTTGTTGATTAAGTGGGAGTCCAGCAATCTAACCATTATGCTACCTGTTGGTCCCCATGCTTAGTCTTTAGAGTCATTGTTTAGTACAATTTCTTTACAAAACTATCCACCCTTAAAAGACAATGAAATTCGGTCAAATGTGACAACATGGATAAACAGAAGATTCAGAGTGGAATGATGACTGTGAGAGCACAGAGGGAGGGAGAAACAGGGAAATACTAATGATGGACATCAAAATTCAGTATCAAAAGTTATAGATCAGGACGAGCAGATGGCGTAATAGTTATGTTACATAATGGTTACGACTCCCATGCAGTCAACTGCGGTTTGAGGTCCAGACCCAGCAGTTTAAAACTCACGCCAGGCACATTTGTGTGTGCCCAAATTCCTAAGAGGAGAATGGAGGAGAAGGGATTGCTGCATGCCATCCCCAGGGGGATGGAGGACTGGCCGATTTCTCACTTTCTGTCCCTCTCTTTCTGTGTCTCTGGCAAGCTCATGTGCCCTACAGCAAAATTCTCTCTCTCAAAACAGTTAAAGATCTGCAGGGATCTGCTTTATAACATTGTACCTATAGCTAACAACAATGTATTAGGCATTATGACTTTGTTAAAAGGACAGATCTCAGAGCCAGCATGTAGTATGGTGGTTGGGACATTGGATTCTCATGTTGGTTACAGCTGTTAGAGTCCCTGACCCTGTGGCATGAAACTTGCACCGGGCATGTGTGCATGTGTGCCCAAAACCCTGAGAAGAGAATGGAGAAGAGGGGATTGTGGCATGGCCATCCCCCCCTGCGGGGAGTGATTTCTCACATTCTCTCTCTTACGAGCCCTATAGCAAAAAAAATCTCACTCTATGGACAAACAAACAAAAAAATGAATCTCACATTAGGTGTTCTAATCAAATTTTAAAAAATTAAAAAAAAAACAAATAAAAAAATTTGTTTCAAACACTTATGTATTGGTAAGAGCTTTTTCACACTTTTTTTTCGATTTATTTTAAATACTTTATTGTAATATATTATTTAGCTTGTAAAGTGAATTTACCCAACATAAATACACCTCATACCAGTCCAGTTGAGGATACTATCTATGTATGTCATCATCAACAGACAACAATCCATTTCTGAGTCCCATAAAAATCTTACCTCTGTATTTTTCTCCTCACACTACAGTAAGTTAGAATGTGGTTTGAGTTTTCTTTTTCTTTTTTTCTTTTTGGAGAGGTTTTTGCTATAAGGCACGTGCGCTCACCAGACAGAGAGAGAGAGACAGAGAGACAGAAAGCAAGAAATCTCCCCCCCAGGGGGGATGGCCACTCCACAATCCCTTCTCCATTCTCCTCTCGGGATCTTGAGCACGCACGCACACGCACCCAGCGTGAGTTTTAAGTCACCGGGTCTGGGATGCGAACTGCTGTTGACTACGTGGGAGTCCAGCGACATAGCCATTACGCTAACTGCTGGTCCCAAGTTTTCTTTACTATCAACTATAGTTAGTTGGCTTAAACATGAGCAAAAACTTCTTTCCCCCTTTATTTTTTTTCTTTTTTTGGAGAGATTTTCACTGTAGGGCGCGTGTGCTCACCAGACAGAGAGAGACAGAGAGACAGAAAGCAAGAAATCACCCCCCCAGGGGGGATGGTCATGCCGCAATCCCTTCTCCTCCATTCTCCTCTCGGGATCTTGGGCACGCACGCACACGCGCCCGGCGTGAGTTTTAAGCCACCGGGTCCGGGACACGAACCGCGGTCGACTACGTGGGAGTCCAGCGACATAGCCATTACGCTAACTGCTGGTTCTCTTTCCCCCTTTATTTTATAAAAGGTCACATCCCAACCCAACACATAAATCTACAATGAAAATCCTACTGTAATGGATAAACGATTTCTAAGACCCAGTGAAAAGTAATATAGAAGTAAAAATTTTCCTCTTAGTGACTTAATAACTGTAGGTCTTCCTTCAGTCTCATTTCTTGGCATTCCATAATAGTCTACATGTTAGTTATAATTTTTTAAAGATTTGATTGATATTTTTTTAAAAAGTGAATTTTTTTATAAGATGAGACATCAAACTATAGTTTTATAGAATTGAAAAGAAGAATAAAAATAACCAAGTCAAATTTTAAGTATATTTTTTATCACAGTGGATCAAAATGATAACCAGCAAATATCTGAAAACTTAAAACCGAATGTACTCTGTGTTTCTATGAAGACTTCAGTATAATTAGAATATTGATAGAGATCACATTGCTGGAGGCCTATAGATCAGATATTTTATCACACTTGACTTCAAACATATGTGGTGAGTCATGGCTTTAATTTTATTTTATAGAGTTAGTCTCATTAAATAGTGAAAGTGATAATTCAGAAAATTAAAGTTCCAGTTTAAAATGAAATTAGATAAATTCACTAGAAAGAATGTCTTCTAATATCCAAATGGTAGTTTCATAGTTCGAATGTGGGTATGTTTTTTTTGAAAATATTCATTTTACTCATAAGTGTTTCCAAGAATACTTATTTTTGTGTTTTAAAGAGTGGGAAAATGGGCTTCCCAGAGCGCTGGAAAACCAGAGGCAGAGACGGTCCGGTGACACTAGGGCACTGATTCTGTTATTTCCACCCCTATTCCTGCCTGTCCTTGGATTGGGGTATGGCTCTGCACATGGGGAATTTGTTCTAAAAAACAGGACAGCTGGTAATTATAAAAATAGCTTAAGTGGAAGCACATAGACTGTTAGTGTAACAATTTTTCTGGAAGAGTAGCATAAGCCTTGGGTAAAAGAACATTAAAAATAAAGAATTTGAAATGATGGAAAACTACTGGCAACTTGATGCTTAATAGGGAACTAAAGACCGAAGAGAATCACCTCCAGGTATGCCCTGCATGCACGCTCTGCAAAGACTCCTGGTTCTTGCATTGTATGGTATCCTCAGTTAGGTAAATCAGGCTCCGTTGGTACCTGGCGCATGACCGTGTGTGCATGCGCGTGTGTGTTTTAACTTTACCCATAATCCATAAGAAGTACTACAGAAATAACAATGTATGTGTGGGGATGTTTAGATACTATACACTAAACTCTTCACTAAAGATTTAAATGAGAAAACTTGTTGGCAGTACATTTCTATATGAACTTATGAACCATTAGTACAAAAATGTCTGTTGGTGGGAACCAGCAGTTAGCGTAATGGCTGTCGCTGGACTCCCACGTAGTCGGCCACGCTTCGTGTCCCAGACCCGGTGGCTTAAAACTCATGCCAGGCGCCTGTGCGTGCGTGCCCAAGATCCCGAGAGGAGAACGGAGAAGAAGGGATTGCGGCATGACCATCCCCCCCGGGGGGGGGTGATTTCTTGCTTTCTGTCTCTCTGTCTTTCTCTGTCTGTCTGGCGCCCTACAGTGAAAACCTCTCCAAAAAAAAAAGCGTCTGTTGGTGATTTACAAGATGTTGGCCATAAAACTCCTTGCAGTTTCCAGAGTAAAGGAACCTAAAGGTTATTGATATTCCAAGCATAACCAAGAGCGATCAATCCAACATTGTACTCAGAGTGCTTTCTTTAGTGCTTTTCTAGGACAATTCTAGAGTTGTTATTTGTGACAGAGAAGAGTATTTCATCCTTTTCTGTATGAAAATCCCTTGGTTGAAATTTTAAATTATGTGGTATATTTGGCCATTGGGCATTGAAGGAAATTGTGAATACTGGCAAGCTAGCCTCAAGTCTAGTCTCTCTAAGCAACCTGATTTTTAACATGCTTGCTTTGCCTTACCACCAGCGAGGTCTGGGCAGGCAAGAGAAGGTCTCTCGCAGGAAGGTGGTAATCTCCAGGAGCAGCTGGCATGCTGCCATCTTCAAGGCAAAGGGGCAGCCACACTTGGAAGGGTTCACAGTACCTATGGAAGGAGAGTTCTTTAATAAGGAGACAACCAAATAAAATTACAGAGGCACAGTTTGATGGACATAGTTATACATATGTAAAATCAAATTGTATATGAGAATGTTACTTATACATGCCCCAAATTAGATTGTGTATGAGAACATGGTGTAAGCAAATTCAAGTTACCTAATGCCTTCGGCCTAATCTGTACATTACCATATGAAGGGACTTCAAAAAGTCAATGGAAAATTAAAGTATGAATTTATTTTGGTGCCAAAACTTTTGAAATCCATGCACAGTTTTTTCTTTATGATTATGCATTTCCATGAACTTTTTGAAAATCGCCTTACATACTTCTCCCTGCCTTCATTTTGTGATTCTATACTGAGTACTTCAGCAGCAAAATTTTGGACAAGCAGAACTAATTATTCTTCTTAATTATATTGATGGAATAACAAAATTCAGCTTCAACTAAACTAGAAAGCCTTTAAATGAAAATAGAAATGGAAAGTATCCTTGTATGATTTCCACACGGCTAGTCACTCAGATTGCATGATGTAATGGGAGTAAGTTAGATTTGGAACTACAAAAATCCTGTCAGCTCATTTTATGAAGAAATGTATGCCTTGATGCTTTAAGGGTAGTCAAATTGTTTAAGCTCTAGTCCAAATGTGTTTTGCAAAACAGACAAACCTATGTCATACAACTTGTACAAGATACTCTGTCATTGTAAGGCATAGTTACATTAGAAGTATGTACACATTTTCTTTTGCTCTGAAGAATACTGGTCTTTGAATTAACGAAACATTGTAATCATCATAAACCAAAGAATAGATTTTGCTCTAAAGACAGATAATGTCCACAGTGATACCAGAGAGACTTAAAATTCTCAAGATGAGTTCTTAGGTATGTGTCATCACAAATCATGAAGACATGTACTTATTACCTAATAGTGTTCAGAAAAGAAGACCCAAGTCTTATAGCGTTCTACCTCTCATAAAATAAATAAAATAGTTATCATTACATATCAAGGTTCCTAAAAATATCTCTAAAATACTTCCTGGATCTTAGACTTCCTTAAATAAATAGAACACACACTTCATAATTTCTCTTGACAGAAGGTAGTAATTACGGTCTTCTGAGGAAAACTGGGCTGTTACTTCCTCATGAAAACCATAATCGTCTTTCCAGAGTTAATATGTGGCTGGAGACTTAGCCTACCATTAAGAATAGAGAAGACAAGCTCCTGTAGCATTTCCAGATTGTAACTTGTTTGCACAATAATTAGCTTTTAAATGCAAGATGGGCTGTGTATGGCTTGAAAGTGGAACAAAACCAGATATATAAATCTTAAATTCAATGAGGCACTATGATTTTGCCTGGATGTCCAATACTTAAAAAAAATAATTAAACATTAGACATTCAGTTTAAACTTCTAGATTTGTCTCTAGTTTGAGTCTAAACATTATCATCCAGATTCCTATCAGTCTTGTAGACAGTGAACTCAGTCTTAATCCAGGCCCTTTTATGACTATCATCTGAATTACGCTGTTACAATGAAGAAAAATTGAATCTACACAATTTCGACCAAAAGCTAATTCACCAGGCATAACATATGGGTAGATGATATTTATGTGGTAAATGGAAATTTCAGTTTGTTCTGGTGTATGAAGATGCATCCTTTAACACCACCTCAGCTTTTCTCTATTCTGAATAGACCCTAGAAGGTCAGGGTAGTTTGGAGATGCCTTCCAACGAGATGGACCTCATGGCAGGCCTTCACTAGTTCACAGTGTTGAAATCATCTCAAATCCTCCGATGAATCAGACCCAATTCCATGAGTCATTCTAGATTAGTCTAGTCTACTGTGAACTTGAGAGAATTTTAGGGGCTAATTTTCACCATTAGATTGAAAGACTAAGGTGAGAATTTGGTATTTTGTCAACTAATTCAAGAAAATATGCTGTGATTTGATAAGCTATTACAAGAGGCAAAATAGTGAAAAAAATCTTTATGTGAGAGTAGAGAGGAAGATCATGTTTTCTCTCATTTAGATGAAACTGTTTAGTTCTATACAATGTCACATGCTAACCATCTTTTTACATTTCATGGCTACTAGGATGCAGTAGGTTTGACACCAGTTAACTACAGACAAGACTTATAACCAGAGAGACTGAATTTTGATTTATTATGGAAAGTCAAGAAGAAGAAACTTCACTCTTTTTATCATATAGAGATACTAATTCCATAGCCATCTCTGGGACTTTATACTCCATAAAAGGCAGTATTACACATACACACAAGCTTGCATGGTACAGAACACACATATGCACACAATGGTGTTGGAGGGGATTGTAACTGGAATTTCTTTGTTTCTACTTTTCTATAATGGGAATAAACTCTAAATGTACAGCAGACATTCACAGTTCTAACAACCTCAGAATATGTTTAGTATTTCAATTTCAACTTACATACTGTAGTATACTCTGATTAAACACAAAACTGGGTATATCTTTTTTTGGGACAGTTATTTTTCACAAATATATTTGTTCAGAGAGATTCTCTTATAATCTTTGTGTAATGGCAAGAACCAGAGACTGAAAAGTACCGGGCAGTCCACAATCCCTGCAGTTCCATGCCTGTTTGTCTTCTTGTTCTGGGTTTTGCCTTCACTTGTGTAGCTCTATGTACATGCTTTACATCCATGCACAGGGAAAGGAGGAGAAGGCTTAGTGGGAGACATGGGAAGGTGAAAAGATATGAAAGAGGAAAGAGAAATATTAAGTGCTCCTAAAGCAGAGGTTCTTACAAGCAGGGGTTCTTGTAGTAAAGGGAGTCTCCTTACTGTCATCTAAAAAGTCTTCCTCCTCATCCTCCTTTCTCAGTCTTCTCTTGGTCTCTTCGTCATAAATGAGACCCAGTAGGTTGGCTGGACTCTCACTTTCCCCATGGCATAGCTCATTCAATCGGACGCCGATTGCCTACCATGGGGAGAAGAAGAAGGAAACAGCACAAAGTGTGTCAGAGATTCTGAAACAGGCTCTCACATTGCTGACAATGTAATTAACTCGACTTGTTCAAAGTCACTTAGCAGTAAGGGGACGGCTCCAGCCTAGCCTCTTTTGTATAGTACAATGTTGTTACATGATGTTTGCCAAAATGGAGACCCAGATGAAAGGCACTGATGCTGTTTCCAGGGTCATTTAATCTAAAGACTTACAAACTGGAATGTTACCTTGGTGTACTCATATAAAAGTTTTTCTGAGAGTATTTCTAGTTACTCAAGGTCATTTATTTTATAGGTCTTATATAAGGCTTTATGCAGTTGTTTTTAATAGATGGTTCTATTGCCATAAACATAAGAAGAGACTGTTTTGGAGTATGCTGCTTTATGAGAATGTCACCGTAATGTTAGTGAGTTTGGAGGTTGGCAAGAATTCTCTACTGAAATTTTATTTCTATCTGCCATTATATATGCATTTATTGGCTTCTTTTACATAATTTGTTCCTCCTTTTGTGATGCTCTATAAATTGATAAGAAATGTTAACTTTTCTTTTTAGCTTTTTGTTACAGGGCACATGTGCTCTCTAGAGAGACAAAGAGGGAGAGGGAAAGTGACAAATCATCTCCCAAGGGTGACAGCCATGCTGCAATCCCTTCTCTTCTATTCTCCTCTTGAAGTTTTGGGCATGTAGGTACACGTGCCCAGTAAGATTTTCAAGTTACCAGGTTCAGGACTTGAACTGTGAGTCAGTGATGTGGGATCCAATACCTTAACCTCCATGCCACCTGCTGGCCCCAAATGTTAACTTTTCTTTTGGTAAAGTACTTAATGACACTATTAAAAATATGACTTTTAATAACTTAGCACATGGAAAATATTGACTTTTACATGGTATTCATACCCTTACTCTCTGTTCTTCTGAATCATCATGAACTATGGTCTGATTTATCAAAAAATTTTCCACAAGAAGAAACTAAAAACCCTACCTCTGTCTAGTTCCTTTTAGATTCCAGTTATATACTATGTACAACAAGAAAAGAGATATAGGTTTAGGGAGATGAGTCAGGGGAAAAATTAAACTGAGCTCTTAACTTGGAATCTGAAAATTTTGTTATTCTGTGCATTAGTAAGAGCATCATTCCAGCTGATTTTCTACTTTCTTCCTGTATCATTCTCAGCAAATAAAATACTTTTAAAAGTGACTAAATTCTGAGCAAGTATGAAAATAGACGCACAATCGGAAACCAACATACACAGAAACCCTCAGAACACTTTAAATAAAAAGACATTTTGGAATGACTTAGATATCTGGAAACAAAGAGTTCTCCTTAAGCTAAGGAATTACGTGAGAAACTAAAAACCAGGAAGCAAAATCACACCTATGAGAAAACAGCATCTAATTCAAGAAAATATGCTGTGATTTGATAAGCTATTACAAGAGGCAAAATAGTGAAAAAAATCTTTATGTGAGAGTAGAGAGGAAGATCATGTTTTCTCTCATTTAGATGGAACTGTTTAATTCTATACAATGTCACATGCTAACCATCTTTTTACATTTCATGGCTACTAGGATGCAGTAGGTTTGACACCAGTTAACTACAGACAAGACTTATAACCAGAGAGACTGAATTTTGATTTATTATGGAAAGTCAAGAAGAAGAAACTTCACTCTTTTTATCATATAGAGATACTAATTCCATAGCCATCTCTGGGACTTTATACTCCATAAAAGGCAGTATTACACATACACACAAGCTTGCATGGTACAGAACACACATATGCACACAATGGTGTTGGAGGGGATTGTAACTGGAATTTCTTTGTTTCTACTTTTCTATAATGGGAATAAACTCTAAATGTACAGCAGACATTCACAGTTCTAACAACCTCAGAATATGTTTAGTATTTCAATTTCAACTTACATACTGTAGTATACTCTGATTAAACACAAAACTGGGTATATCTTTTTTTGGGACAGTTATTTTTCACAAATATATTTGTTCAGAGAGATTCTCTTATAATCTTTGTGTAATGGCAAGAACCAGAGACTGAAAAGTACCGGGCAGTCCACAATCCCTGCAGTTCCATGCCTGTTTGTCTTCTTGTTCTGGGTTTTGCCTTCACTTGTGTAGCTCTATGTACATGCTTTACATCCATGCACAGGGAAAGGAGGAGAAGGCTTAGTGGGAGACATGGGAAGGTGAAAAGATATGAAAGAGGAAAGAGAAATATTAAGTGCTCCTAAAGCAGAGGTTCTTACAAGCAGGGGTTCTTGTAGTAAAGGGAGTCTCCTTACTGTCATCTAAAAAGTCTTCCTCCTCATCCTCCTTTCTCAGTCTTCTCTTGGTCTCTTCGTCATAAATGAGACCCAGTAGGTTGGCTGGACTCTCACTTTCCCCATGGCATAGCTCATTCAATCGGACGCCGATTGCCTACCATGGGGAGAAGAAGAAGGAAACAGCACAAAGTGTGTCAGAGATTCTGAAACAGGCTCTCACATTGCTGACAATGTAATTAACTCGACTTGTTCAAAGTCACTTAGCAGTAAGGGGACGGCTCCAGCCTAGCCTCTTTTGTATAGTACAATGTTGTTACATGATGTTTGCCAAAATGGAGACCCAGATGAAAGGCACTGATGCTGTTTCCAGGGTCATTTAATCTAAAGACTTACAAACTGGAATGTTACCTTGGTGTACTCATATAAAAGTTTTTCTGAGAGTATTTCTAGTTACTCAAGGTCATTTATTTTATAGGTCTTATATAAGGCTTTATGCAGTTGTTTTTAATAGATGGTTCTATTGCCATAAACATAAGAAGAGACTGTTTTGGAGTATGCTGCTTTATGAGAATGTCACCGTAATGTTAGTGAGTTTGGAGGTTGGCAAGAATTCTCTACTGAAATTTTATTTCTATCTGCCATTATATATGCATTTATTGGCTTCTTTTACATAATTTGTTCCTCCTTTTGTGATGCTCTATAAATTGATAAGAAATGTTAACTTTTCTTTTTAGCTTTTTGTTACAGGGCACATGTGCTCTCTAGAGAGACAAAGAGGGAGAGGGAAAGTGACAAATCATCTCCCAAGGGTGACAGCCATGCTGCAATCCCTTCTCTTCTATTCTCCTCTTGAAGTTTTGGGCATGTAGGTACACGTGCCCAGTAAGATTTTCAAGTTACCAGGTTCAGGACTTGAACTGTGAGTCAGTGATGTGGGATCCAATACCTTAACCTCCATGCCACCTGCTGGCCCCAAATGTTAACTTTTCTTTTGGTAAAGTACTTAATGACACTATTAAAAATATGACTTTTAATAACTTAGCACATGGAAAATATTGACTTTTACATGGTATTCATACCCTTACTCTCTGTTCTTCTGAATCATCATGAACTATGGTCTGATTTATCAAAAAATTTTCCACAAGAAGAAACTAAAAACCCTACCTCTGTCTAGTTCCTTTTAGATTCCAGTTATATACTATGTACAACAAGAAAAGAGATATAGGTTTAGGGAGATGAGTCAGGGGAAAAATTAAACTGAGCTCTTAACTTGGAATCTGAAAATTTTGTTATTCTGTGCATTAGTAAGAGCATCATTCCAGCTGATTTTCTTCTTTCTTCCTGTATCATTCTCAGCAAATAAAATACTTTTAAAAGTGACTAAATTCTGAGCAAGTATGAAAATAGACGCACAATCGGAAACCAACATACACAGAAACCCTCAGAACACTTTAAATAAAAAGACATTTTGGAATGACTTAGATATCTGGAAACAAAGAGTTCTCCTTAAGCTAAGGAATTACGTGAGAAACTAAAAACCAGGAAGCAAAATCACACCTATGAGAAAACAGCATAGAATAATATGTCAGGATCCTAACATTTTAGCTGCTCACCTGAGCAGTGTTAAGGAAACAAGAGAAACCATCAAAACAAAACCATTACTACAATGGAAAGCTTGGTCCTAATGTCACTATTTTGGAGATCCTCTCTAAAAGAGTAGCTATACAACTGTAAGTCAGGAGTGGAGCCAATAAACTGAATACGGAGGCTCAAATGAAAAAAATTCCTGTAGCTATTCGTCCAGAATATTGTAACTAAGCAATTTTAATTAAAACCAGTTTATAAAGTTTAAACTAAGGGTTGCTAAAAAAAAAAAAAAAAAAGAACTTTCTGGTATGTAAGTCAGGAGTGGAGCCAATAAACTGAATATGGAGGCTCAAATGAAAAAAATTCCTATAGCTATTCCTCCAGAATATTATAACTAAGCAATTTTAATTAAAACCACAGTTTATAAAGATTAAACTAAGGGTTGCTAAATAAAAAAAAAAAAAAAAAAAAAAGCAATTGTCTGGTATAAAAATGTCTAAATAATTATTCAGATTTCTATATCTCTTCCAAGGCTAGAAAAATGCCTTAAGGCTATATTTATTCCTTTCTTCATTCTTTCATCAAATATTAAGCAAGGTCATTTGCTAGGTATTAAATAGAACACAAAGTAGAATCGTGCACCAGTTCCTTTTTAAATGTGCCCAAGTGGATTATAAACCCACATAAATACTACTTGACAAATGAAGAGATTAGAGGTTGAGACTTGCTCGAAGTCACTTGGCAGGCTGTGAACTGGGATTCCAATACAGGTTGTCTCACTAAGTCTTGTGTTCTTTCCCTCAATGAGCTCACAGTTTATATAAAGAGGCAATAAAATGCCAAAGCAATATATTAAGTGGCAAAAGAGGGAAAGTTCTTTATTAGTACAGAAGATAAGGAGATTCAGAGAATCAAAAACATGAGAAACAGGTATTTTAGCTGATGGAGAATGGAGAGAATAGAGATTCAGATGAAGACTCTCAAAGCTATGTATTCAGGTAAATGTGCCACGTGTTCAGAGACTGACAGGTAAGTTACCTGACTGAAGCACAATTTTGTGAGAGAAAATAATATGCAGGAATACTGGACAGGTAGATTGAAAATGGATCCTACAGTTCTTGACATTGAACTTCATTTTGCATTTGTAAGAAGGATGAAAAGGTAGTTTTTGTCCAGGAGAGTGACCTCATGATTCATTCAAGGGACAGTGTGTTCACTGCCCAGGAATACAGAGAAGCTTTGGGTCTGGCTTCAAAAATGATTGTAATAATCTATTATTTTGAACACACCTTAGATGCAAAGAATTGACATAAGTAATTTTTAGGTATAGCAGCTCGTTTGACTTCATCATCTATAATTTTGGAAGTTTGACCAAAGGTTGTGAACAAGGCAGTGATATTAGGTTCAGGATCTGGGTTTATCCTGAGAGAAGAGGAGGGTCACTGAAATATTTTAAGTGAGAAAGAAATGCAATCTGATTTCATTTTAGTTTATTCATTTTGACAGCAGTTTAGATAATGAATTTTAGGGGTCAAGTCTGGAGGCCGAGAGATCAGTAAGAGTGTTCTGTCCTGGGTGGGTGGTGCTACTGGAGATCATTTTACTGACAGTAAGTAGGATGAATTAACTGAAGGAGGCCTGAGGGCAAGAGACCAAAATACCTTTTGTTTTTTAAAGAGAGATATTTTTGCTATAGGACATGTGTGCTCACTGGAGAGACAGATAGAGAGACAGAAATCCAGAAATCACACCTTAGGAGGAATGGCCATGCTGAAATCCCTTCTCCTCCATTCTCCTCTTGGGATTTTGGGTACATAGGCACATGCACCTGACATGAATTTGAAGCCACTGGGTTTGGGGCTTCAATCATGGTTTGCCATGTGGGAGGCCAGTGATGTAACCATTACATTATCTGCTGGTTCCCATGAAAACACTTTAATCATCCAGATAAGAAGTAATAAAGATCTCATCAAAGGACTTCAGTGGCATGGCAGAAGTAGAATCAACGTGGAAAGGAAGTTTGAGATATACTCATAGGTTGTTATCTCAGATGATGGTGGTACCATTAATAAGGCTAGACAGCTCAGGCAGTGTTTCAAGTGAGGGTATGTTTACATATGGAGAGGGGTTTTGGTTTTGGCTAGATTGATATTTCAGGATATTAAGCGAATAAGTATTGCAGTTGGCAATGCAGGCTTAGATCAGAAAAGTGCGATGGATAGTCTGTCCTCCAGACATACCATGTTCAGATATACAGACAAAAATGTAAGCATAGGGAAAATTTTATAGGAAGAAATTATGGGAGATTATGGGGAATATCTACATTTATGGGGAGTGGAGAGGTAGAGGAACAGGAAAGGAGATAGAAGATTGGGTAGAGATGTGAGGGGAGTCCAGAGCTTACTGGTCACAGCAGACAGAACAGAAGAGAAAGGTGGGGGCAGTCAGTAGCATCAAATCATGCAAGGAAATCAGAAGGTATTATTTGCCCTGAAAGCATCTGTTCTAGAAATCCTCTACTCAAAACCTCCTTATAAATCTGAAACTCTCTAATACTATGCACTAATGGTTTTTCCCTTCTTGCGGGAAGCCAATTGGATTAGCAACTGTGACTGTTATTTCAGAGAGGTCTCTCAATAAAACACTTGTCAAGTGAAATAGTAATAAAAACAATCAAAAGCATCTCCCCACACTGAAGAATTTGACAAATTTTATGCAAACTCACAAAAAATTGGGGAAATCAAAGTTGATCAGGCTGTTAGAAAATTGAAAGAGAAAAGATAAAGAAAGACACCTTACCATTTGAAGACTAACAGCAGTATGTGTTGTTCCAGATATTTATTTGATATTACTTTATTTTAGAGAGGATAAAGAGAATATTCTGAAGGGAAAATAAAGTAGAAAATTCTAACAACTGGTTAATTATCTACCTTAGTGACCATAAATCTCATTGTTTGTTTTAAAAGATCACTCAGCAAAGTGAGTCATTGCTGATTTCAGTCAGGTTCTGACAGGTGTCTGTGGGAGGATGGGAGATATGAAGAGAAGGATTCAGAATCCTTGTAGACTGAGCTGTCTGAGCTACAAGGCTTGCTTGGAAGATTTTTGCATTTCTAGAGGTAGTGGAATGAAAGAATAGTGTGAAGAATCTGGACCCATATTTCTCACCATTAACAAAAATTGACTCAAAGTGGATCCAAGATCTAAACCTAAGACCTCAAACAATAAAACTACTGGTGGAAAATACTGGGGAAACTCTGGGAAACATCAGAATAGGCAAAGACTTCTTAAATAAGACCCCCCCAAAGCACAGACAACAATTCCCAAAATAGAGAAGTGAGATTACATCAGATTACATCAGAAGTTTCTGCATAGCAAAAGACATAGTGATTAGTGTGAGTCAGCAATCCTCAGAATGGGAGAATATTTTTGTAAACTATGCCTCAGATAAAGGACTGATAATCAGAATACACAGGGAAATTAAATGAGTTACCTGAAAAAAAAAAGATCAACCCAATTAAAAGATGGAAAAATGAGCTGAACAAACAACCCTTTAAGGAAGATATATGAACAGTCAAAAAAATATGAAAAATGCTTGACATCCCTCATCATAAAGGAGATGCAAATCAAAACCACAATGAGATACCACTTAACCCCAGTCAGAATGGTGAAGATTAAACAAACAAAAAATTATAAGTGTTGGCAAGGGTGAGGTGAAAGGGAAGTCTCCTGCACTGTTGGTGGGAATGGAAATTAGTATAGCCACTGTGGAGATCAATATGGAGGTTTCTCGAAGATCTACAAATAGAACTACCATATGATCCAGCAATTTTACTCCTGAGTATCTATCCAAAGGATAAGAAAACGCCCAGATGGAAAAGTGCTTGCACATCTGTTTATTGTGGCGTTATTCATAATTGCTATGACATGGAACCAACCCAAATGTCCACGAACAGATGAATGGATTGAAAAAGTGTGGTACATATACCTTCCTCAGCCAGAAAAAACAAGACCTTGCCATTTGCACTACTCAGCCAGAAAAAACAAGACCTTGCCATTTGATAGAAAGTGGACTAATAGGGAAAATTTACTGCTGTATGAAGCAAGCCAGGCCATGAAGGAGAGACATCGTATGTCTCCACTTAATATATATTGACTCTCCACACTCTACGGCAGAAACAGAAAGACTGGAGGATATAGAAGCATGGAGAATAGTTGCAGATACTGGAGACAGTATGGGAAGGGGTTTGGAGATGGGGGAGAGTGAGAAGAAATGAATCAAGGAGAAAAATACAAGACATTTAGGGGATGCAGAAATGGAAAATTCACTGTTGATGATAATGTGTATGATATCTTCAACTGGACTTGTATGAAGTGTATTCATGTTGTAATTCATTTTATAAGCTTTAGTGATGTACAATGATTAAATGTATAAATAAACTAGAATAATTTAACTCAAACCACAGTCAGCCATGTGGGGTCCAGCTGCCTTAATCACCATACCACCTAGCTCCCTCTGATTATTTTAAGAAAAAAAAAAAAATTGGGCTCTCCTAGAAAATTAGCAAGGCCAAACATCCATGACACTAGATAGTTGGAAAACATCACTCGCTAGTTCAATAATAAAAACATCACATTTGAAAGTTTTAAATTGAGATTTATAATCATGCTTAGTCATTTTCCAACGAGAGTAATGACCAAGGTTCTAACATTCAGGGGTGAGTGAGCCTTGGAATCATTGTAGAGGTGGTGGAGGTATGGGTTCATGCACTATTAGTTGAAGGAAGAGCTCAGAGCCAAAATACACTGCACCCTCTAACTACTTGCCCTACCTTCCCCATAATCTTGCATTCATGTGTCTCTTAACACCTTAACTCAACCTTTCAACAATCATGTAAACATGCTTCACAAATTATTTTATAAGGCAATACCTTTGAACAATGTGCTTCGGGACAGCCACCCTCTGCCATCTCTGCCCTGACCCCTGCCAGCTCAAATATGTTCATTTTTCCAAGCCCATGTTTTGTCCACTGTGACATAAGATTCTAATATTTCTTGTTAACACAGCTGCTCATGAAGCGAATTTAGGGAAAAAATTATAGCTTGTAGGAAAACAGATTGTTTTTGGAATCTTTGTACATAGGCCAAGGAAAACCTTTTCTAAAAAATTCCTCCTTCACAAAGTAACAGTAAGGCATTAAGCAGTAATTAACACCATTATTCTGAACATCTAGGACCAAGTTGAAAAACTGGTGACAAGAATCAAGAAAGATTAAAGTTTGAATTTGGATATAATTTTGGAGGAAGATTATAACAGTCTTTCAGATAAGCAAAACACTGTGACAAAATTATAATGTTTACATAAAGATTTATGTAGTTTTTTACCCTTGCTGTAAGAAAGACAATGGTAAATGTTAATAATTTATTAATTAAGAATTTATTATTGTAGAAAATGTAGTTTCAGGTGAATCAGGGGCATAAGGTGCCTCCTCTCAAATATGAGTGCGAAAAAAACTAACCATTTGGCACAAACCTTCCTAATCGGATGTAACAAACAATTAACAAGAAAATCTAATATCCAGATGTTCATGCATCAAGGCCCTGAGATGAGTTTAATAACTTATATTTCTTTTCTTTTTAGATTTTTTTTTTTTTTTTTTGCCAACGGGTACATATGCTTGCTGGAGAGAGACAGGAAGGGACAGAGAGAGGGAAAGTGAGAAACCACCCCCTCAGGGGTCATGGTCATGCAGCAATCCCTTTTTCAGTCTCTTTTGGAGATATCAGGCATGCCATGCACATGCACCCAGTGTGACTTTCAAGCTGCCTGGGGTCTCGGGCTCGAACGACAATTGAACATATGGGAGCCCAGTGCCTTAACCACCACAACATATGCTGGCCACTGCTTTATTATCTGTAATTGCCAGAGGTGTGTGCACTCACCAGAGAGAGAAAGAAAGACCTCGAGAGAGACAGAGAGAGTGGGAGAAAGCACTCTCCAACTGGGTGTGGTCATGCCGCAATACTTTCTCCTCCACTTCTCTATTCTGTTGAGATTTGAACACACACACACACACACACACACACACACACACACACGCTCAGTGTGTTTTTCAACTTGCCAAGGCTGGAACTCAAAACATGGTCAGTAATGTGAATGCAGCTCCCTTAAACACGAGGTCATAGAACCAGCTCTTAACCTGCATTTACTAATGGAACACTTTAACTTGTCAGACATTCTTACTGTATGCCAAGGTAATTCTAATATTCTTACAGTAAAATGAATCTTTATATTAGTAATCTATCTAAAAAATCCATTTAGCTGCTTATTCTACAATTCAGTATACGGAGATGTAAGGAATTTATGAAATGTGCACGCAGTCATGGTTTCAGTGAAAAAAAATAAAGACAGGAGTTCACAATTGAAGTTCAGTATTTTGGTTTCTAACTTGGTGAATCTTCTTCTCTAACTTATGAGCTTTGAAATAATTGAAGACGTTATGAAAGCAGATTTTTGATAGTGGATTTTCATCCTTATGCTTCTATGATTACTGGTGTATCTATGTATCTCATGATATTTACTTCACTTACACTGCTTAATCTGTATAAACTCCTGAACTTAATATTAAATCCAAACATAACAAAATGCATGATAAATATAGTAGAATCATATAGTAACTTGGTTCACTGATTTTAAAAAATGGATATTACATGGGAAACCATGTCTTCTCACATATAATAGGCAATAGAAACTTAAAAAGGGCAGTGCCAAGCTCTGATCACCAACATTAGCATTAATAAAGAGTTCTACATGGTATTTATGAAACACTCTTAGTTTTTTTAGCCTAAGCTATCTTTACATAAGAAAGAAAACCCAAAGGACAGTAATTAAACAAAGAAAGATTAACAATATTCTTATAGGCAGATTGCACACCCTCTGGAGGTAATTCATATCTTTTGAATTACTTTGGCACTTTGAGAAAGAGACATGGATAAAACTTGAGGAAGAATTTTCTGAATTAGTAGGCACAGTAGTAGACAACACTCAGTTGAATTAAAGGGAAATTAAAATAGCGACCTCAAATGATCTTTAAGGCAAGAGCAACACATAGAACCTTCCTTAATGTGTATTTGGGTTTGGCTCTTTCTAAAATTAGTAGAAAAACCTTAGTTGATTTATCACCCTTTGTCCCTCTATGATGAAGAAGTTGTAATTATTTTAAAGGCCCATTTCAGTAGAATCCCTAAGGAAGATTCATTCATTTATTTTTTATTCATCAGTTATTCATATATATACATATAAGTGTGCCTCTCTCTCTGTGTGTGTGTGTGCATGTGTGTGTGTAGTCATTTCCAAAGGCTTCAGGCATCTTACAGGAAGCACATTAACAAAAGAAGGAAAACTCTGTTAAGAAACAAGAGGGAAAACAATTGGGCCAGCAGGCTCCCACATGGCCAAATTTGTGGTTGGAATCTTGGACCCAGTGGCTTGAAAAACACACTGGGCATGTGTGCATGTGTGCCCAAAATCCTGAGAGGAAAATGGAGGAGAAGAGATTGTGGTGTGGTCATACTCCCTGAGGGGTGATTTCTCACTTTCTTCTCTCTCTCTCTCTCCCCAGTGAATGCACATGGCCTATAGCAACAAAAGGAAAGAAAAAAGAAACAAAGAAAGAAGTGTGAGGGGGGGTGATTTTTCTAATAAAAATTAGAGTAGAAAGCCAAAAAACAAGGACATGACTATTTAACTATCACTACAATAATATTCACAAAGATGATTCTTAATGAACACAGCAATTAAACCATAGACTTTGGACTTTAACCTAGGAGATGAAATATTGGTTCCTTTACTTACTGGATATGTAAACTTTTGGCAAGTCACTTGGCCTGTATAAATCTTAGTTCTCTTAATTGCACAGTAGACATAGTAATGTCTAAATGCATGAATTTATTGGGAAGATTAAGGAGTTTTTTTTTCCCTTTAGTTCTCGGTAAATAACAGACACTCCATACATTGTCTTCAAAACAAACATAATTAATCAAAACATTGTTCCACGTCATGGAAGCACCATAATTTTTATAGAAGAAAATCAAAAGCTCACGTCTCCCCATTGGTAGAAGAGCTTGGCAGCATTCCATTGCAGTTTCTGGTTCCGCTTGTTGCCCACGATAGGAGACCGACCCCGGGAAAGGCCTTTCTTGGTGATGTTCACGTGGTGCCCTTTCATCCACTCGGGCCAGTTGCCACGATTACAACGGTGAACAAAACGGGCACACTCCAGAAACAGGGCAGCTCTGGCCACCACAGGGGCTTCCTGTGTAGAGATGGGAGGAAAGAATAAGATGGGATTCATAAAGATAATTTTAAATTGGTACTAGAGGAAATTACTATGTTCTTTTAGTTTAATTTCCATGTTTTGATTTAGTATGGCTGTATTTCCCAGGATGCTGTCAGCATGGCCTGTACAATAGAGAGAAGTCCGGAAAATGAAACCACCTAGGCAAATCTGACATTGAGGAATTAGACATGTCACACAGGTTTCTGTATTGTTTTCTCCTTCTCAGGAATCACAAGTGTTACTGTCTCTATCTGAGATTTGAATGTATGAGAGTGAAAAGTGTTACCTAAGTTTTTAAATATGAAGCTATTTTTTGAAACTTAAATTTTTAATGTGAAGCAAACAAATATCACATTTCTAGAACAAGTCTTATTTTAACCAAGGGTGTCAACAGTGACTTTATACCAACAACAGTCTGTTATCTATGACCATCCACACATTCCATGGAGGTGCAATGCTCCTGCACATTTTGGCTAGTAAGAAAAGGAAGTGCTTATTAGATTATATTGAATAAGTCTCTTTTTCCTCTCTATTTTGTCATGAATAACAGACCAGATTCGCTTGAATAGGCATGGTGTTTCCCCAAAAAAGGAAATTATTGAATTAATCAAAGAGAAACAGTGTTTTTTCAGGAAAAAATGATTTCATCTTGTCATGTCAAGATGTGCTTGAAAAGTAAAAGAGGGACTAGCAGATGGCTGGACTCTCACATGGCTGACTGCAGTTCGAGTCCCGGGCTTGGTGGCCTAAAAATCAAGCTGGTGCATGTGCGCATGTATGTGCCCAAGATCCTGGGAGGACAATAGAGAAGGGATTGTGGTGTGGCCATTTCCCTTCGGGGTTAATTTCTTACTTTCCCTCTCACTGTTTCTGTCTCTCTCTCCTGAGAGTACATGTGCCCTAAGGCCAAAAAAAAAAAAAAAAAGAAAGAAAAGAAAAGAAAAGAAAAACTCTCAGAAGAATTAAAAAAATAAAAAGGAAGAAAGAAGCCTACTTCCAGAGAGGCAAGTGGGAATGCACCAGTGTGTGGTGACTGGGGCTGCAGGGGTGGCCTAGATACAGGGTCCAGCCAGAGACCCTACATGTGGGGATATATATTGGGTGAAGAATGAGTCTATGGTCCTGGGACGCTAGGAAGGAGAATCTCTACATGGAGAGACATTGTCAAAAAAAAATAAATACCTATCTCATTCTCTCTCTCTTCTTCTCCCATACACACTCTCTCTCACATTAAAAAAAATAAAAATAATAAAACAACTAACTTTTTATAAATACAGAAACTTGTAAGCATCAGATATTCTACTGAATCCTTTGAAAGAATGAAAAAACAGTGACATTTCCTGCAGAAGGTAAACAAATAATAAGAAATAAACTATCAATGTGTGTTTTGACTTAAGTAAGATTTTTAAAAAATGCCTCACAGTAGTGGCCACCATCTTAGAGTTACTTAATAATCAGGTTACTTAATAACCCCAAATTTTCAAATTAAAATAATTTTTATAATTTCAAGAAATAGTATTCTTAACAATGCATTTATCTTTAATGTTAAAATAAAGTCTAAGAGAGCTAGTTGGTTGTGTGATGGTTAGGATGGCTGGATACCATGTGGCCGATTGTGAGGTTTGAGTCCCAGACTCAGTGGCTTAAAGAACACACTGGGCACATGTGCATGCATGCTCAAAATCCCAAGAGGAAAATGGAGGAGAGAGGATTGTGGCGTGGCCTTCCCACCCTGGGGGGTGATTTCTCGCTTTCCATCTCTCTGTCTCTCTCTGTCTTTCTAGTGAGCGTACACTCCCTATAGCAAAAACATCTCAAAACAAAAACAAAAACAAACCCTGCAATCTAGACATAATATCCCCATTTTAAGATTTAAAAAATGAAATATGGTATGGCAGGGAAGGGGTGGGCAAAGGAGTCAACGCTGATGTCATTGATGTCTAGGCCTATGCTAGTTCCTATTCACTTTTCACATTATCTTAATTTATACTCATATAAATCTCAGCAAAAGATAATTTCTAGAATATAAATAAAAATATTTAAAATATAGACATTAGTCTCATGTAATTTTTTTTTGTTTCTGTTTTTTAAATTTGCTATAGCACGCATGCACTTGTCGTGGAATGAGACACAGAGAAAGAGAGAGAGAGAGAGTCAGTGAAAGTGAAAGTGAGAAATCACACGCCACCCCCTCACCCCCCCCACCCCCAAGAAGGATAGCAATGCTGCAATTCCTTCTCCTCCATTTTCCTCTTGGGATTTTAGTCATGCATGTACACGTAGCAGCATGTTTTCTGAGCCATCAGGTCCGGAACTCGAACCTTGCAGTCAGCTATGTGCAATCCAGCTGTCTTAACCACTAGGTCACCATTTGACCCTTAATATTGTTTTCTAAAACTCACATATACGATCATATCATTGCCTCATTTAAAATCTATTACAGGTTCCATTCACCTCAATCATATAATGAATAAAGATACCGAAACTTTGTGCTTTTGTTCATCTTCCTTTCTATCCCTATTTCGAAGGCTCTGTGATTCAATGATAAAACTAGCTGAAGTCTCCCAAATATGACATCTCATTCCTTTCCATATGTTGTTTCCATAGCTTGTAGAACCATTCAATTTCATTTCCTTCCAGAAAATCCCCACTTCTAAGATTCAGCATAATTTCTTCTCTGAGAAGTCATTAGTGATACCTTCTTTTGGGTGGAGTTCGTTACTGCATACTTTTGAATACCACAGTATCTTAAACATACTGGAGGATTCAGGTAAGTTAGCTCATTAAACATTTCCTCATAATCAACACCTTAAATGCAGCCATTAAGTATTCCAATAAGAAATACACTTATGTAAGGGCATTTTCCAAAACATATGATGAATTTCTGTAACAAAAAGTCAACCTATGTAAAAAGACACAATACAGATAAACACTAATCGTGGGAATCTATCACTAACACAAGGTAGAAAATAATGATGAAACTCTATCATCAACTATATAGGGGGCCAAGATACAGATGCAGGTCTCAAGAATAGGAACATGAGGTTGTAGAGTCAGATGATTTTCTGTGCCATACCAGGTGGACTAAATATCTACACTTTGCCTTCTACTAAGTATTTTACTAAACATCTTTGATATGCTAATCTGTGTCTACAAAAGGTTGGAACACCTGTCTCTAAAAAGAATGCCAATCTGGTGGGCAAAATGAGTGATACAAATTTATTCTCAGCCTGCTCCATTACACCACATTCCCAACATAAAGCAGATTCAACGCTTTATTACAGAAAGACAGAAATAATACTGTTGGAATCACATTATGTTGGGAACTCTTGCTTCTTCAGGCTTAACAAGGGTGGAACTTAACCTAGATTATGTGAATGGAGTTGAGGGCCTTTTTATTCCTCTTAACTATTAGATGGTAAGAGAGAATATTGGGACCAACAGGTAGCATAATGGCTATGTCACTGGACTCCCATGTAGTCGACCGCAGTTCAAGTCCCAGACCTGGTGGCTTAAACTCACACCCAGAGTGTGTGCGTGCATGCCCAAGATCCTGAGAGGAGAAGGGATTGTGACGTGGCCATTCCCCCTGGGGGGGGTGATTTCTCATTTTCTGTCTCTCTGTCTCTCTTTCTGGTGAGCGCACATGCCCTATAGCAAAAACCTTTCCAAAAATAAAATAAAATAAAAGTTGGTAATAGAGAATATTAATAATAGATGGCTGAACAATCCAGATTATAGAATGTGAGGTTTTCTTTGTATATTGGCTTGGTTTCTGTAAATTAAAAAAAAGAGTTCTTAAAAGATACTGTTAAAAATAGTTTTAGTTGCTAGGAAGTTCAAGACATTTTTGAATGAAAGTAATTTCAATTTTCTGCTCTCAAAAAATTCTCATGATAAATTTTCATTATTATAGGTTATTAGCCCTGGGAAATTCTAATCTAAATTGGGAAATAAAATTGAGATCAATATGAAAATAAGTCCCATTAAATACATAGCACAATGTTAAGAGGACGATTGGCTGTTACCTGATTAATTTAATCTGTGTTAATAGCCAGAGTAGTCACAGTTGGGAATGTCACTGTTAGCATTAAGAATAATGACATAGAGTTATATTCCAATGTTCGAATAGTTCCTTCTTCTTCTAATCCTCAGGAGCCTGGTGGATAAAAGTGGGCTTGGGGATTCTATATTCAAGATGGCAGTGAATAATACTAATTTTGGGGTGTCAGAGTGTGCATATTGATGTACAGAAACTGGATGGAGATGTTGAGGTACAAAGCTAAGGATTTTAATGTGTGTCCTAGTAGGAGACCTTTAGTTAGCAACAAGTACTCAGTGCATAATGTGTATACCACAATATATGAGATGTTCTAATGTCAATGTAGTTGTGAAGAATTATTTTCATTTTGGATAGGAATGGATTCATACAACAGAGAAAAACAGCATGAAGGAAGCAAAATGAATTGGAAGAATGTGGCTTACTGAAAAGAACTGGAGTGTCAGAGGCATAGTTGGAAGTGAGATTCTAAGCAAAATGTGACACCATTGGTACACCTCAGAGAATTTTGCTCTTGATCCTGGAAAAACAGCAGACACATTCCAATTTTTCTACCTATCTAGATCACCTTGTTATGCTCCTTAAGGACACAGTATGGCTTCCATTCTGTTATATCATAACTTGATAGCTTCCAGACAAGTGAGAATCAACTTCAACTGGGAAGACAAACTATTAGGCTGAACCATACAGGATATCTAAATGTGAAGGTCCACAATATTCAAATATCCAAATATTTCATGTGACTCGATCTTATATAAGGCATTCTCTGCAGTTCTTACAGAACTGTCTAGTTAAAATTATAAAAAGTCATGAGAATGCCATTATGCAGTATAGATTTCTCAACATTCTACAGCTAGAAAACTTCCAACATCCGTCTACTGTCTTTGACTTCCTTTGCCATTTTTTTCCACTCACT